CATCATCATCATCAACATCAACATCATCGTCGTCGTCGTCGTAAGTAGCAGGGAATAAAAAAGGGTTAGAGGGGGAGAAGAGAGAGAGAGAGAGAGAGAGAGAGAAAGAGAGAGAGAGAAAGAGAGAGAAAAGATAACGCCATTCATCACATACACACACACTCGCAACATTTCGGTCAAAAGCTATGGGTGGTTGGCGGGTACTCTGGTGTGGTATGCTCCTTCTTTCCTATCAAGCATCTATCTTCCTTATCTCCCATCCTTCTTTTTTATGTTTGCTACTCTCTTGTAACACCTCTAATCTTCGGCACTCGTGTGACCTTATTGTGTTGCAAGTGCCGTAAAATACTTACGAAAACAACACAAAAAGAACCGGTGATAATCCGGACAGCCTGACCAGTGGACCAGCCAGGCCTCAGTAATAACCACATCGTCATTGTGAGACAATTATTGTAGCTATTGGCTCAGTGCCTAAAGTGAGGCGCCGTGGGGGAATCAGGCGCTCGGCGAAATACTCAAATTTGGGAAACGCATTTTTTTTCTCTCGAAATTTTGGAAATTTGTATCAAATATTTATTTTTTGGGGCCCAACTTCTTTCCTGTCCTTATAAAAGCACACTCTCCTGTGAATTTTACTGCCAAAAAGCCCCATTGATTGAAGGCACGAAATATGTCACTTCTTTGTTTTGTTTCAAGGAGTCTCTAGCAGTCCTCAGCTAGTGGAAGGACCCAACTGTGGCGGACATTTTCTCGTTAATGTCACCACTGAAACCAGGTGACCTCACTTCCTTCAGTCCCAAATATTTTTCAGATCTTTTCTGGATAGTTGGATATTTATTTCATTGAAAGCAAGACAAATAAACCAGCTTTCAGATAATACCATGACTCTACATAATATGACGTGCACAAACATTGACCGTGGGTCGTTGGCGGGTGCTCTGGTGTGGTTTGCTCCTTCTTTTCTATCAAACATCTATCGTTGGCGCTCATATGACCGTATGCAGTTGCGAGCGCCGTAAAAACTCTGCTAAAACTAAAAACATATATATCGTTTTTATCTCCCCTACTTCTATTACGTTCTATGTGTTACTCTCTTGTAACACCTCTAATCTTCGGCACTTATACGACCGTATTGTGTTGCAAGTGCCGTAAATCTCTTACTAAAACAAACTTTTACTAATTAGCGCTCATATGACCCTATGCCGTTGCGAGTGCCGTAAAACTTCTACCCCAAAAACAACC